TCTCCATAGTAATTCCCATATAAACTTCAAATGGTTTGTGCCAAGTTAGTTTCTCACTAAATGAGTTCCCATTTTTTGATGCTAATCAGGGCCCAATTTGGAACCGTTTGAGCACTGTGGAGCGAAAATTTCAACTTTTGCATCAGTCTACCCTCCACAGTCTACAAAATAGAGTATCTGACGCTGCAAAACATATCTGGTACAGTGTTGAAAAAATCTCAAAAAAATCAAATTTCACCAATGCCCAAGATCACGCTTAATTTTCGTAGACAAAAATCAACAAGCAAACATCTGCGGTTGATTTTGCAAGCTGTGATATCGCAGCTCGGAACAACAGCTAACAAAACTCACCAACTGCAAATCTCACCAAACTGTGGTGAGGTTGAGTTTAACGATTTTCTTTACACCCGAATGAAACCGAAACTTTCATAACGGCTGGCAGCAGTCCCTTCGTGTCTGCCATCTGTCAAGCGCGCAGCGTTCGAGTTTTGCACCTCGAACTTTGCGCGTCGTTCCCGTCGAGACCACTGGCTGCTGGTAGCGACGTCGCCTCGATGGCCCAAGCGCTCCTTGCCTGAACGATACAAATCTCGATTACTTTTTCGAAAGGACATATCAGCTTTTGTAAACAACGCATTTTATCGTCAGTTTGGGATAACTGATAGCTCGCCCACATACTAACACCACTATATCAGGTAGGGGAAAATTTCCTCTATCTGATGGTAGTACTAGCATGCGTGGGTGAGCTACCAGTTACGCCAAATCGACGATCAAATGCGTTGTTTACAAAAGCTGATACGTCCCTTCGAAAAAGTAATCGAGAAATACTTGGGCTGTGTACCAATTGCCGAGTTAAATTTAACTCGTGGTTAAACGTAACATTTCGAAAGTTATTTTCAATGTTCGAAAATGCCGGAAACTGATCAGTTTCAAACAGAACTCAGTCACGGTTACCAAAATTTAACTTCTAGTCGGTCCGAAATAACCACGCTCGTATGGCAGGGTTATTCGATAAATCATCTGTCACTCTTAACCACGAGTTAAATTTAACTCGTTCATTGCGACACAGTCTTCGAAGTAAAATAGGGCTATCCATAAAGTGCGTATATTTTTTTGACTAATTAACCCCTCTCCCCCCTCGGAGCGTGTTTTGCAATACACCTAATACATGGCCGGCCCAACTTCTGAAACCCCTCTCCTCCCTCAACTATTACGTTATTTATGAAATTTCCTTAATCATTGGACAACAGTGAAAATCAGCAGCACACACCACACAAAATGGGTTGGAAGTTTAGGCGGAATTTCGGTATTGATTGTCAATATCTTGCGATCAGAACATTTAACTTGAAATCCCTCGGTACATCTTTAATCTATGAATTGAATTAAAAAATACTAAATACGGTGTTTTTTAAGATTTCGTACGTTTTATGAACGCACATCCATTATTTTGCATAAGAAAACGGGGTGTTTCTGTGGTGAAAAAAAGGATTTTCCTACAAAGATCACAGTTTTCTGTACCAAGCACTGAAATTATCAAACGGTACCTCTATTTATGCTTTTAGATTAGCTATGAAAGTCCATCCTGTTTGGAAAATTAGATATATGCCAGATTTTTTGCTGATAGGGGCGAGGCATAGCAAGCCGTTCGATTGCATAATTTTCCAAGTAGGAGGGACTTACAATGCTATTCTCTTAGCATAAATAAAGGTACCGTCGAGCTTTTTCAGTGCTCCGCCTTGGTTAGGTGTTTGTATCCGCTCATTTGCCGCAGATCCCGCCTCTCAAGGCAAAACAAACTGGCTGTTTACAAACAGATCATAGCCCCCGCGATCTTCTATGCCGCCCCGGTGTGGGAATCGTGCGCTCAGACCCACAGGAACAAAATCCAGGTTGTACAGAATAGAGTGTTGAGGATGATCCTAGATCGTCCATTCGACACAAGAATAGCAGACCTCCATCAAGAGGCAGAAATTCCCAAAGTAGATTCCAAAATTGATGATATGACAACTAAATTTATTCAAAAATGCAATCTTTCTGAACATGCTTTAATAAGCAATTTGTACATAGTAGGTTAAGTGTATATAGTAGAGTAGGTTAGTTTTAAGCTGTAAATAGTAGTATTAAGTAGTTTCTCTTCAAATTCTAAAAACAAAACAAACCAATCCCACCAAGGTGGTCGACCGTGTACTAAGTCTAGGACTAATCCTGTAAAACAAATTTTAAATTTTGCCCATACCTAAAGATGAAGAAAGCAATTAAATCACTTAGTAAAAATTTATATGGTAATCGTCCAAGTTAAACTAAAATAAAGATCATTTAAACTAACTAAAAAAGCTTTTTCAGTGCTAGGTACTGAAATTCGACGGTGATTAGAAGGGCCAACTTGTAATGTTTGATGCTCTGCATCGATTTCCTGTTCACATTGCCACAGCTAAGCGAAACAATTCAAGCTAAATATTGCATTTGGTCCTAAGAAACATAGACAAGATTCTTTTCGTCGACTTTCTCCTTGAATCCACTCGGCCCAGGTATTTTCAGCCCACATATCGATAAAAGAGGTTTTTATCTAGCATCTAATACGACAAATCTAGATAGAACAGGACTTCTATCGATGATTTCTAGGAATTCAAGGCACGTCCACGCAGACCAACCGAACCATCGGATAGGGGAAGTCTTTCCCTACCCGATGAGGATGTTGGTTTGCGTGGGCGAGCCTTAAATTTCTAGAAATCATCAAAAGAAGTAATTGTTTACAAAAGCTGTTAGGGCCTAATTCCAGCTCTATCTAGAAATGCGAGAAACGGTTATGTGCTCAAGTTATGAACGGAAGAGAAAGTCGACGAAGAGATTCGATCAATGCTACTTATGACCTAATGCAATGTTCAGCTTGAATATTATCTGAAGTTTGTCCATTGTAGTGCTGTTACAGGTTGTATTTGTTATCAAAAGCAACAGCAAACGCACCGAGAAATGTTAATCCAAGCGAGTTATTAACAAAAGAGAAAATCGATCACGATTACGTCCTTATGTATGCTCACTGTCGAATTTGTAATCTGTGATAGGTCTTCCATACCACAGAAACGTCTGTACGTCTACAAAATGCGAACGAAATCTTTAAAAAAACAGCAATATTTAGTAATTTTTTTGCTTAATCGGTAGATAAAAGATGTACCGAGGACTTATTGGAGGGAGTTATGCCTAATCGAGATCATCCCGATCAACAAACTACGAAATGTTGCATAACATTGGTGCAAAATTGTGCACTCCGTTTTTGTGTGTGCATTCTTTTTGAAGTTGAATCGCTGAGGAAACCTCATTTCTGATCAATCTCAGTACCACATAAACATTTCAAGAGCACAAATATCAGCTCTCACGAAACTTATAACAAAGAAACTGGAACTTCACGTTTGCTGCAGTGCAGTACACAAGGAGTATCAATTTCATGAGTGAAGTCACAACCGTCTAAGATTTATGCCCTAGAAATCTTGAAGTGATAGGGATTATCAGCCATTGTTGGACGCTTCAATGAGTCACCAGAAGAAAGCCTAATAGAAAGTGGCCAGGGTAGAAGTGACACGCGACGCGACACGATGCGACTCATAAAAGAAATAATAATTAATAATAAGATTTCTTTGAATTGGTCGCGTCACATCCCGAATCGCTTTTCCCCTGGCCGCCACCTTACTCATATCTGATTGTACTAAAAAACCGACCCTGTATAATCGAAAAAAAAAACGATCCTCTGAAAATTATCAATTTTAACACAGAAGCACAAACAGCAGAATGTGGAGCGGATATTTGGAAAGGTCACAAAAAACCCTTTCAGACAGTTTAAACCCCATATTGACGCAATTGGGCGCTTTTTTGCTATAGATGTCTAAACCAATATTTCAATTTCAATATAGAGATTTATTTCTTAGCTTTGTTAACTCTGTTGAACTTTGATAATTTTGTTGCACAAAGCTTATGATGGGCTTAAGAACCCCCTCGATTTTTTTATAATTTTTTTGATCAATACTTAAGTTATGCCCTTAAATTTGTTTAATTTTTTTTTTCAATAAAATTTTGAAACAAATTCAAATGTTGCATTTTTAAGTAAAATTATATCCAAAATGGATGTTACTCATTATTTCCAATGAATTAATTCTACAATATTTGCCCGAACGTCACTCTCCAGAATGCCATTAGCCCGGATGTAAAGTAAGCTTGATTGTAACGAATCGTTGGAAAAACCGGGATTTTTTTAATTTGCGCCGGGAAAACCGGATAATTGTCGGAACTTAAAAATAAAAATTCGCTGGCTACCCTGGCACTTTTTCACTGACTGCTTCTTTCACAATACTTCCTATGGTATAATATTTGCAAGTTTGCGTTACTAAACCGCATTAAAATTTAAACGTTTCCATTAAGTTATGCCAAACGTCTATTATGTCAAATGACCTTTACGCCAAACTGTTATATGTCAAATGACTTTATGCCAAAATAGGTTGACCCCATAAGACTATATAAGTTTGAGCATCAGAAATATTGAGTACGTACAGTGCATGCTATTGGAGAAATTTCCAGAGAATTGCGAATTGAAAAAGGTGATTTTTCAAACGTGAAAATTGTGAAATAAGGATCAAAATTAATAAAAATCCATACCAACCAAGTGCAACCCAGAAATTTGAGTTTTTTAAGATGGTGCGATATGATTTCAAAATTCATTGAATGCAGCAAAAACTTTAAAATTATCTGTTTTCATCCCATAAGCCAACCTACTAAACATTTCCTATTCGAAGGATTAATTTAAATAAACCTATTCATCTGCTCCATTAGTTGTACTTCCGCTCATTTTCTGTCCAATCAAGCCCACTCGACAAACATCTGCTAATATAGCGCCTAGCAAATCGCACATCATTTGCCTACTTACCAAACCTTCCAAAACTCACCCCACATACAATTTCCAGTACTGCCCAACCGATCTCAGTACTAACGTGAACCTTACCAACCACCAACAGGAACCGCCGTCAGCAGCACCATTCGCCATCATCGCATCACCACCCCCACCTTCAACAACAACAACAACAACACGAGCACCAGAAACGGTGGAAGCGGAAATCGGGTCGCCGTCCTCACCGCCAGCAATGGCAATGGCAGCAGCCGAACCACGAACCACGCTTCCTCCTCTCCTCCTCCCCAACAGCAGCATCGTAATCGCCGTTTGACATACGATGACGATCAACCGAGTGCTGGTGCCACTACTAGTCACGGGGGCCAGTGCTCACCCAGTGGAAGCCGATCATCGGTGACCTCGGCTCCCGAAGCCCCAGTGAAGCCTCCCAGCATGACGTCAAAATCGCCAATCAAAAAGTCGGCCTCGGCCGTCGAAACGGCGGTCACCACTGCGGCCAACAAACTACGTCGAATGTCGACCAATGCGATCTTTAGCTTTAGTGCCCATAACAGTAGTAACACTAACTGTAAGTCCAACAATAAACCTAGTACTAGTAGCGCTGTTAGTGGTAGTAGTAACAATAAATGTGATATTTTCAATCTGTTGTCGCGATCGCCGAGTACCCAGCAAGCGTCGTCGATTCCGCCGAGCGACAAAGGGTCCAATCCGTCGAGTCCGATCACCAGTCCGACCAAACTAGTTGCTCGGAGCATCAGCAATGATCCGACTGCTTCCGCGTCCGGTGCACCGACGGACCACCTGAGGCGTGACTCGTTGCCAATCATCGGCGGTCTACTGTCGTCATTCTCGACCTCGTCGGTATCATCCTCGAACTCATCCTCACTTTCTACGTCCACATTCGGTACGGGCAGCACCCATCAGGGCCTTCCGCTGCTGTCGACTACCTTGGGTCAGCCGAAAACCAGCAAACTGCAGGCCCTGTTTTCCGTTAGCTCCTGCTATAACGGGTCCTACGGGCGGAGTGTCAACGGTGGTGATAGGAAGAATAATGGGCGCCACGTAATTCGCACCAGCAGCTATGGTGCCTACGGTGATGCAGATGATGATGATGATGATGGCGGCGGCGGTGGTGATGATGTTGATGACGGTGCCGAACACCACGAAGACGTGGTGGCGGCGGTGGCTGCGGTGGCTTTTGGCAGCAACGGAACCCGTAGAAGCGTTGGTCGGAAGATCGGCAGCACCACCAGCAACAGCGATAGCGGTCGGAGTAGTACCGAGATTGGACCGGAGGTTGACAAAGATAAAGAACTATCGCAGCACAACGGTCAAAGTGCTGCTGCTGCTGCTGCTGCCGCCGCTGGCAATGGCTGTGTGAAAGATCTGGTTTAGTCGATTATTGTTATCTGTTTGTAATTTTTAGCTAAGCTTATGGCGTTTTTTTTTTAATTTTGACGTGGAAATCTACTACGGAATGAGACTGTTACGAATAGATGCTCGTACCTTTGGGATGTTGACCCCGCACCTAACAACGGGACGAATTTCAGTTGCAAAAATGATTACATGAAACGAAGGAAGAGGAGTTCTTACAAGAGTTCAGGTTGGTTCCAAGAACACTTCTAAATGAAGTCTTACCAGGTCGAATCCCCTTTAAAAGATCTTTAAATGCTTTCTGGAAGAGGACAAAGTCCAATGAAAAATTTAGGCGAAGTTGCATGAATTTTCCCAGAGACGTCATGAGAACTCCGTGAGAGAGAGCAACAAACTTCAAGCGAAAGCCATAAAATCCTGCAGATCTTGAGAAAATTAAACTTCTTATGAATCTTTCAGGATAAGATTCCAGAAGGAATTCTGGGAGCAGTCAGAGAATACTTCCAATTGAAAATGGATTAAATTTCCGGGAAAAAATTAGGAAATGTCCGAGGGAAGTTGGATGAAACATCTGGCGGTAGCCAGAAATACTTAAGGTATCATTTGGAAGAAATTTCTATAAATATTCAGAAAAATTGTCCGGGGGCTTTCGGGAAAGTTTAAAAAAAAAAATCTTTTGGTAGATCTTGAAAACATCTTCTTAGAGCACTCGAAATTTCCGGTGCAAATTCCCAATTGCTTCCCAATTTTCGACGAAGGTAGGTTGAAACTTCCGGGTGCAGTCCCAAAAAAACGTCCAAGAGAGGTCAGAAGAATTCTCCCAAGGCAACCAAAACAAACTTCCGGGTGAATTCGGAAAACATTTTCAGAAGAAGCGGAAAAAGCTTTGGAAAAAACTTCCGTCAGAGGAAAGTATAAAAAAACTTCCAGCAAAAGTAAGGATCAGCATCTGGAGGATGCTGAAAGAATCTTTATGAAAACGACGGAAGAAACATCCCACGGTACCCAAAAGGACTTCTGAGTTCAGTAGGAAGGGAAATCTTCCGGAAATGGAGTCAATAGCGACCTCAGAGGAAAGTCCTGATAGACTTCTGTTGGAAGTTCAAAACATTTTCTAGGAGCACTCGAAATACTCTGCCGATCCATGTTGGAATAATCTTTCTGGAGAAGACGAAAGAATCTTACTGGAGAAGTTGGGTGAAAATTCCGGGAAAGAAGGAAAAACTTTCGGGGGAAATTTGGATGAAAATCATCGAGGAGTGGAGGCAGTAGATACTTAATGGAAAGTCCAGATTAACTTCTACTGTAAGTTGAAAACATCTTCCAGGAGAACTCGAAAGCCACTTCCGGTCCATGTTGGAAAAATATTTCTGAAAAAGACGAAAGATTCTTACTGGAGAAGTTGGAAGAAAATTCCGGAGAAAGCAGGAAAAACTTCCTGGGTCGAGTCAAAATGGACTTCAGGGGAAATTTCATATTTACTTCTGCTGGAAGTTGAATACAATTTCTTGGAGCATTTGAAAGACTCTTCCGGTCCATGTTGGAATAATCTTTCTGGAGAAGACGGAAGAATCTTAATGGAGAAGTTGGATGAAAATTCCGGGAAAGAAGAAAAAACTTCCGGGGAGAATTTGGAGGAAAAATCTTCCGGGTCGACCCATCCTTGAAAATCCAGATTAACTTCTGCTGTAAGTTGAAAACATCTTCCAGAAGAACTTGAAAGACTGTTCCAGTCCATGTTGGGGAAATATTTCTGGAGAAGACGAAATAATCTTACTGGAGAAGTTGGAAGAAGATTCCGGGCAAAGCAGGAAAACTTCCGGGGTGAATATGGTTGAAAAATCTTCCGGGGTTGAAGTTAATTCGTACTGGAGTAGTTGGAAGAAAATTCCAGAGAAAGCAGGAAAAACTTCCGGAGTCGAGTCAAAAGGGACTTCAGGGAAAAGTCCATATTAACTTTTACTGGCAGTCGAATACAATTTCTTGGAGCATTCGAAAGACTCTTCCGATCCATGTTGGAATAATCTTTCTGGAGAAGACGGAAGAATCTTACTGGAGAAGTGCGACGAAAATTCCGGAGAAAGCAGAAACAACTTCCGGCATGAATTTGGAAGAAAAATCTACCGGGGTGGAGTCAATAGGGACTTCAGGGAAAGTCAAGAATAACTTCTGCTAGAAGTTGAAAAAAAAGTTCCGGAGTCGAGTCAAAAGGGACTTCAGGGATAGTCCAGATTAACTTCTGCTGGAGGTTGAAAACATGTTTTAGGAGCACTCGAAATACACTTTTGGTCCATGTTAGGAAAAGCTTTCTGGAGAAGTCGAAATAATCTTACTGGAGAGGTTGGAAGAAAATTCCGGGGAGTGCAGGGGACTTCAGAGAAAGTACAGATTAGCTTCTGCTAGAAGTTGAAAACATTGGGAAAATCTTTTTGGAGAAGACGGAAGAATCTTAATGGAGAAGTTGGAAGAAAACTCCGGGAAAGAAGGAAAAACTTTCGGGGGAAATTGGGATGAAAATCATCCAGAACTGGAGTCAGTAGATACTTAATGGAAAGTCCAGATTAACTTCTACTGTAAGTTGAAAACATCTTCCAGGAGAACTCGAAAGCCACTTCCGGTGCATGTTGGGAAAATCATTCCGGAGAAGTTAGAAGACATTTCCGGGGAAATGCATGAAAAACTTCCGGGGAGAATTTGGATGAAAAATCTTCCGCGGGTGGATTAAAACCAATTTCAGAGAAAGTTCAGATAAGAATTTGGTGAAAATTTAAAACATCTTCGGGGAGCATTCGACAGACATGAAAGACGAAAGAATCTTTCTGGAGAAAACAAAATAATCTTACTGGAGAAATAGGAATAAAATTCCGGAGGAAGCACGAAGAATTTCTGGGAGCTGTCGGAAGTAACTTCCAGGCAAAGTCAAAAGAATCTTTGAGAAACTGGAGGAAATTGGAAGCCATTTCCGCGGGGGACGTCAGAAGGAAATTTGAAAGATGTCGTAATTAACTTTTGGGACAAATCCAATACATCCTCCAGCAGAAGTCGGCAAAATAAAACTTCCGGGAGTGGATGGAAGAATCTTCCTGCTGAAATCAGAAGAATCTTCCGGAAGGAGTCGTGAAAACATTCCGAGGGAAAGTCAGAACAATTTCTTGAGGAAACTTCCAGGAGAAAAGGGTACAAAGTTTCAGGGGAAAATTGTTGCAAATATCCGGGCAAAAATAAAAGAAATTTCAAAGGAAAGTTGGTTGAAACTTTCGGGTGAAATCACAAAAATATCCGAAGGAAGTCAGCAGAATCTTTCAAGGGAAGTCGGAAGACATTTTCACTGAAAATGATATGAAGAAACTTCCTGATATAGTCTAGAGAAACTTTCAGCAGAAGAAGCATCTGCAGGAGCTGGCTGAATTTGTATGGAGAAGAGGATAAAACATAAGGAAATGTCTGGAAAATTTTCCGGGGGAAAGATGGAAGACATTTCCGGAAATAGTTGGGAGACACTTCCTGAAGACGTCAGAAGATCTTTTGAGAGTTGTCGGAAGAAACCTCCGAAGGATCGGAGATTAACTTCTGCTGTAAGTTGAAAACATCTTCCAGAAGAACTTGAAAGACTGTTCCAGTCCATGTTGGGGAAATATTTCTGGAGAAGACGAAATAATCTTACTGGAGAAGTTGGAAGAAGATTCCGGGCAAAGCAGGAAAACTTCCGGGGTGAATATGGTTGAAAAATCTTCCGGGGTTGAAGTTAATTCGTACTGGAGTAGTTGGAAGAAAATTCCAGAGAAAGCAGGAAAAACTTCCGGAGTCGAGTCAAAAGGGACTTCAGGGAAAAGTCCATATTAACTTTTACTGGCAGTCGAATACAATTTCTTGGAGCATTCGAAAGACTCTTCCGATCCATGTTGGAATAATCTTTCTGGAGAAGACGGAAGAATCTTACTGGAGAAGTGCGACGAAAATTCCGGAGAAAGCAGAAACAACTTCCGGCATGAATTTGGAAGAAAAATCTACCGGGGTGGAGTCAATAGGGACTTCAGGGAAAGTCAAGAATAACTTCTGCTAGAAGTTGAAAAAAAAGTTCCGGAGTCGAGTCAAAAGGGACTTCAGGGATAGTCCAGATTAACTTCTGCTGGAGGTTGAAAACATGTTTTAGGAGCACTCGAAATACACTTTTGGTCCATGTTAGGAAAAGCTTTCTGGAGAAGTCGAAATAATCTTACTGGAGAGGTTGGAAGAAAATTCCGGGGAGTGCAGGGGACTTCAGAGAAAGTACAGATTAGCTTCTGCTAGAAGTTGAAAACATTGGGAAAATCTTTTTGGAGAAGACGGAAGAATCTTAATGGAGAAGTTGGAAGAAAACTCCGGGAAAGAAGGAAAAACTTTCGGGGGAAATTGGGATGAAAATCATCCAGAACTGGAGTCAGTAGATACTTAATGGAAAGTCCAGATTAACTTCTACTGTAAGTTGAAAACATCTTCCAGGAGAACTCGAAAGCCACTTCCGGTGCATGTTGGGAAAATCATTCCGGAGAAGTTAGAAGACATTTCCGGGGAAATGCATGAAAAACTTCCGGGGAGAATTTGGATGAAAAATCTTCCGCGGGTGGATCAAAACCAATTTCAGAGAAAGTTCAGATAAGAATTTGGTGAAAATTTAAAACATCTTCGGGGAGCATTCGACAGACATGAAAGACGAAAGAATCTTTCTGGAGAAAACAAAATAATCTTACTGGAGAAATAGGAATAAAATTCCGGAGGAAGCACGAAGAATTTCTGGGAGCTGTCGGAAGTAACTTCCAGGCAAAGTCAAAAGAATCTTTGAGAAACTGGAGGAAATTGGAAGCCATTTCCGCGGGGGACGTCAGAAGGAAATTTGAAAGATGTCGTAATTAACTTTTGGGACAAATCCAATACATCCTCCAGCAGAAGTCGGCAAAATAAAACTTCCGGGAGTGGATGGAAGAATCTTCCTGCTGAAATCAGAAGAATCTTCCGGAAGGAGTCGTGAAAACATTCCGAGGGAAAGTCAGAACAATTTCTTGAGGAAACTTCCAGGAGAAAAGGGTACAAAGTTTCAGGGGAAAATTGTTGCAAATATCCGGGCAAAAATAAAAGAAATTTCAAAGGAAAGTTGGTTGAAACTTTCGGGTGAAATCACAAAAATATCCGAAGGAAGTCAGCAGAATCTTTCAAGGGAAGTCGGAAGACATTTTCACTGAAAATGATATGAAGAAACTTCCTGATATAGTCTAGAGAAACTTTCAGCAGAAGAAGCATCTGCAGGAGCTGGCTGAATTTGTATGGAGAAGAGGATAAAACATAAGGAAATGTCTGGAAAATTTTCCGGGGGAAAGATGGAAGACATTTCCGGAAATAGTTGGGAGACACTTCCTGAAGACGTCAGAAGATCTTTTGAGAGTTGTCGGAAGAAACCTCCGAAGGATCGGAGAAATCTTAATAAACTTTTTAGGACGAATGTTCCGAATTCTGAAAAACCAAACGAGGTAGGAAAGCCGGAAGAATCTTCCTAGAGAAAGTAAGAAGAGGGAAGATTTCGGGAAAAAAAAAACCCTAAGAACTTTGGTTAACATTTATTAGTGTGAACAAACTTCCGAGGGAAGTCTGAAAGAGAAAGTTCCAGAGATAATCCGAGTAAATATGGGAGTTTAGTCCGCAGGCGCAGCAACAAAGCAAGACCATGCTGTAAGTGGCTGCGTCCGATTCCCGGTTCGATCTACTAATTTTTCGGGTTGGGAAATTTCTCGACTTCCCTGGTTATAGAGTATGATTGCACTTGCCGCACAATTATACTAATGCAAAAATGGTACATACATCGAAAGCTCTCAATAAATAACTGTGGAAGTGCATCTAGAACACTAATCTGAGAGCACGCAACAGGCTAATATGCGATAAGCAATAAGCTTGAAATACGCGAAAAGAAAAGAATATATGGGAGAACCGGTGAATGTTAAAAGAATCTTCCTGGAGGGGTTGTAAGAAACTTTTGGTGTAAGCCAGAAGGATTTTTGGGAGCAATAGGAATTTTTTTTGGATTATGACGGAATAATCTCAGAAGTCGGTCCAAAATTTCCGGAAAAAAATTTAAAAATCTTCCGAGGGAAGTCAGAAGGACTGTTTTGGAGATGTCGGAAGAAACTGCCAGAGGAAAATGGAAGAATCTTCTAAGGCAAGTTGGCTGAAAATTCCGGAAATAGTAGAATCTTCTGGGAGGAACATCGGAAGAATCTTCTAGAAGAACTCAGATGAAACTGCCGGATGATTTCGGAAATAAATGCTTGCAAGTCGGAACACATTTGCAGGGGAAGCTAGAACAACTTGTATAGCAAGTCTAAGGAAGCTTCTGGGAATACTCGAAAGAAACTTCCGGTGGATGTTGGAAGAATCTTTCCGTAGAAGACGGAAGACACTTCCGGCGTAAGCCAGAACGAATTTTGGAGGCAGTTGGATGAAACTTTTAGGAGAAGTTGGTAGAATCTTCCGGGAAGAAGGCAAAATAAATTTCCGAAGAAAGTTCGAAATTACTTCCGGGGAAAGTCAGAAGAACTTTTGGTACGTTTCGGAAGAAACTTCAGAAGCACACCGGTTGAATCTTCCAGGAGAAGTTTGCATAGAATTAAGGAATGGAATGAAACTCTCGGAAACAGTGGGAAGAATTTTCCGGGTGAAATCAGAAAAAGCTTCAGCGAAATGGAAAAGTAGTTTGAAACTTCGGAGAGAAGTTATATGAAACTTCCATGGGAAGTCAGGAGACCCTTAAGGGAGCTTTCGTAAAAAAAGTACTTAGCAGTAAGAAGACATTTCCGAGGGAAGTTAGAAGGCGTCAGAAACTTTCGGGAGAAGCCAGAAAATTTCCCAGACAAAGTCAGTAGAATCTTCTGTGGAATTTGGATGAAACATCCTGGAAAATTTGTAGGAATCTTCGAAGAGAAAAAAGGATGATACTTTCAAGGAAAGTATGAAGAAGATTATGGGAGCTTTCGGATAGTAAAAATCCGGGGTAAATTAAAAGTCATCATAAACTTCCGGGAGAAGCCAAAAATTTTCCGGACGAAGTCAGAAGTATCTTCTGTGGAATTTGGATGAAACTTCTTTGAAATTTTTTTATGAATTTTCCGAGAGAAAATGAATGATACTTCCAAGGAGCGTCAGAAGAATCTTCTGGGAGCTTTCAGAAAAAAAAATCCTCATGGAGAATCTATATGAAACTTCCAAGCAAAGTCTGAAGAACCTTCCGGGAGCTTTCGGAAAAAAAGATCTTAGCAGTCGGAAGGGATTTCCGGATGAAGTTAGAAGTCGTCATAGTCGTCCGGGAACATCCAGAAAATTTTCCGGACAAAGTCAATAGAATCTTCTGCGCAATTTGGATGAAATCTACTTCCAAGGAACGTCAGAAGAAACTTCCGGAAGCTTTCTGAAAAAAAAATCCTTAGAAGTCGGAAGAAATATCCGGAGGAAGCCAGAAGTTTTCAGAAACTTCAGAAAGAAGCCAGAAACTTCCGAAGGAAGTCTAGATAAACTAATGGATACTGGAAAAATCATTCTGGAGATGTCGGAAGAAGTCGCCAAAAATTTCAAGTTGAAGCCTCCTAGGAAACGTCTCTTAGAGAGGTATCAGAAGAAAGTTTAGAAGACACCTCCGGGGGAAGTCAGAAGGACTTTTGGGGGGTGTCGTAAGAAACTTCCGA